AAATAAATAAATAAATAAATAAATAAAATTTGGAGCAAAAGCATAAAAAGACAACAATTATGCCAAGTAGAGAAAATCATGCACTTCAAAGATTCTAGATATCTAGCGAAGGAGCGTTGGAATTTCATAATTAAAGTGGCAGGTGGAGAAAAAAGGATGAAGGAAGAAAGTAATGGAAGACCTTTTACTGGGGGAAAAGAGTTAAAAATAAACTTGGTCATCAATACATTAATTTCATGTTAGTCAATAATAAGTGGTACTAGTAACTAAACTTATCCCAGGAGATTCTTTTGCATTTAGTGGGGGAAAAAAGTCGTTGCAATTATCCAGGCAGGAAAAACCAACAACGTTTTATATTCACATGCACAGAGACAACAACCAGGTAATTATGAGACATCTCTTTGCCACATTAAAATTGCCAGTGAGAAAATTAACTCATTCCTTTTTTATTCAGCTGTAAAACAGGATAATTTTAACACATCATAGAGTTGTTCTGGGGCTTATGTAGGATAACGTGCATAAAGGACTTGGCAAGTGGTTGTCCTATGATAAACAGCTAAAAAATGCTATTTATTATTATTTAGATTATAAATATATATTATTACCCAGAGCTTTGGAATATGAATTACATAAGCAGCATAGAACAAATTTGACAGAAAATGACTCTTTTATATGCAAAGAATCAGAAAATAAACCATGCAGGAAATAGTAAAAAGTTACATCTACTAGATCCTAACATTCTCAGAGCAATCCAAGAAGGCTGGTTCTATCATTATACCTAACATTTTTATAAGAACACCAATTTACAAGAGGGTCCATAATTTGTCAAATATCACGAGCCAGTAAGAGGCAGACCTATGTTTTATGTTTTCGGGTGGTAATTTAGGAAGTATTTTGTGTATACTGTTGGATAGGGTGAACACAATGATGCTGAGGTAGAGGTTTGTCACTGTAAAAAAGAGAGACACAAATAAGGAATAGTGTAAAGTGTAAAAGATGCCCATGTATTTCAATTTCAACTGGAGATATTCATAATTTGAAGACTTTAAAGAAGTGGACCATCCAATGTGAGTACAAAAATGGATATTTATTGGGGTGCCTGGGTGGCTCAGTCATTAAGTGTCTGCCTTCAGCTCAGGTCATGATCCCAGAGTCCTGGGATCAAGCCCCGCATCGGGCTCCCTGCTCCACAGGAAGCCTGCTTCTCCCTCTCCCATTCCTCCTGCTTGTGTTCCCTCTCTTGCTGTGTCTCTCTCTGTCAAATAAATAAATAAATCTTAAAAAAAAAAAAAAAGGATATTTATTTGGGGATGATAATAGTAGCATTTAACATCAGTTTCAATATAGTAAAGCTGCTAAGAATGTTAATCAATTCTAGGTGACATTAAAGCATATGTTGGGGGAAAATCATGGAAAATCATAACCAAAAAGAGTCTTGGCTTGTGGGCACTTGGTTGGCTCAGTCGGTTAAGTGTCTGCCTTCAGTTCAGGTCATGATCCCAGGGTCCTGGAATCAAGTTCTACATCGGGCTCCCTACTCCATGGGGAGCCTGCTTCTCACTCTACCTCTCTCTCTCTCTTTCTCTCTCTCTCTCATTCTGTCTCTCATGAATAAATAAATAAAACCTTTAAACAAACAAAAAAAGTCTTGGCTTCTGATGCTACATCTAACACATCACTTGTGTCCAACTGTTATGAGTTACCAAACAAGCCAAAATAGTTGTAAAATTTACTATTTCTTTAGATGTGTAAGCATAGATCAACTAATTTCTACTTAATATTAAACAAAAATTCTAAGCTTCAAAAATAAATAGGAAAGATAAGAGCTCATACAGGTATACGTGGAGGAAAATATGCTCTCTTTTGGGGTTTGATATTTCCAGGGATCTTAATTCCTTCTTGTGAAGGCAACAATTTCAAACTTGAACCTGACAACCAGCCCCATGAATTGGGGCCTATCCATTACTTTAAATACAACACTTCAACTCATTCATGTCCAAGATCGAGAAATCACATTTCAAGAAAAAATAATTGACAAGACATATAGGGTCTTGTCATATGAATCACACACACACACACACACACACACACACACTAGTGGAAAAGGCAAGCAACTGCAGCAACAACTGTGAAACCATACACCTGACAGGGAAGAAATGACTCAGGACAAACAAGTATGGAGGATGCCACGAAGCAGCTTTAAACATAAACACATAATGGGTTTTAAAGATGGTGTCATCTTTTACAAATAATTTCTTAAACCATAGCAAGACTTGTTAGGTGGAAACAGGCTGGGGTGGATTTGAACTACTCTACCTCTTGAGCTGAACAAGCATAAGAAACACTTCTTGCTTAAATATGCCCAAACCAAAGATGAGAAAACCAGAATTGTGTGTCAACACTCATATCTTGTTTTTTTTCGTTCAAGATTTTATTTAAGGGATGCCTGGGTGGCTCATTCGGTTAAGCGTATGTGTTTGGTTCAGGTCATGATCTCAGGGTCCTGGGATTGAGTCCTTCATCGGGCTCCCTGCTCAGCAGGAAGTCTGCTTCTCCCTCTCCCTCTCCTTCATGCTCTCTCTCTGTCTTTCAAGCAAATAAATAAAATCTTAAAAAAAAAAAGATTTTATTTAGATTCAAATTAGTTAACGTATAGTATAGTATTAGCTTCAGGAGTAGAATCTAGAGATTCATCATTTATATATAACACCCAGGGCTCATCACCAGAGTCCCCTCCTTAAGGCCCATCACCCATTTAGCCCATCCCCCACCCACCTACCCTCCAGCAACCCTCAGTTTGTTCCCTATAGTTAAGAGTGTCTTATGGTTTGCCTCCCTCCCTGTTTTTCCCTTATTTTATTTTTCCTTCCAACAGTCATATCTTATAAGGAATTTCAATAGATGAAGATTCTGATGCAAAAGCACTTGGAATATATAGTGTTTCCAGGCAATTCTTAACTAAATTGGCAAATACTATCCCATTTATCTTAACAATAACCCAACATCACACATTATTACAGCTTAACCAGAGTAGAAAACTGACAGCTGCAAAGATTGGTATTTTTTTGATGTCACAAATCAAGGACTTGGTAGAGCAACAGAATTAGAAATATGAAAAGAAGATATCCCCTAAAGAAGGCGATTGTTTCCTTTAGTACAAATAATGTTTAAAAAGCTCAAAACATAGCTGTTAATATTAAATGAAAATAGAACTGAGATTGTTATGCCAGATTGAAGAAGTTTATTAGAAAAATGGAGAAAAATAATCCGTATGAAAATCAAAAGGCAGGATCTGTGACAACATCATCCAGATGAGACAGCTGGCAGGAGCTCACAGGATAATTTTCACATTCTTCTACTTTTCACAAGTTATAACCAAGAAAGTAAGGACTTGTAGTTCAGACAAAGAGCACCAGAGTTCAAGTCTTCAGAAAAAGTCATGTCAAACACCTGTGATGTAGGATAATCAGCACCCAACCATGTGGCTCAGAATGCGTGGGGCTCAGAACTGGTGAATCCCACGTCCAGGTGTGGAGGGTGAGAGTCTCCCATGGCGACCTCAATTAGTAGCAGCCAAAGCCAGAGCCGTAGCCAGAGCCACATCCATAGCCACAGAGAGAGTGGGAGCGATATCCGTAGCCACAGCCAGAGCCACAGCCCAGGCCTCCGGAGCCGCAGCCTCCGGAGCCGCAGCCTCCGGAGCCGCAGCCTCCGGAGCCGCAGCCTCCGGAGCCGCAGCCTCCGGAGCCGCAGCCAGAGCCATAGCCCAGGCCTCCATAGCCGCAGCCTCCGGAGCCGCAGCCTCCGGAGCCGCAGCCTCCGGAGCCGCAGCCTCCGGAGTAGCTGCCACACATGGTGTTGGTTGTTGAAGTTTTGCTTGGTTGGAGGAGAGAAGTGTCACTTCAGTGTGGTGTGGACATTTCTCCCTACAGAGGCCTTTTATATGCTCTCAATGTGGGTGTCACCCAGCACACGTGTCATGTCATTGGCTAATTTTATGATTAATTGCATTAGTTTGTTGTTCCTCAACCATAAGATAAAGCTTCAGAGGTATTAAGGTGATTTGCTTTGTTTGGACTTTTTATCCAGTTTGGCGCTTGAATGAGGGGAGATACTCATGCACTCTACACAGTCCTGCCCCAAATTAGACCTTCATTTTAACATCCTATGATCATAATTTATTTCAAAAAAAGAATGCATTTGTTAGGATCTTGGCCCCCAAATAATTATATTATTGTATAGCTTTTCACAGAGAATAACATTTCTTTTTTTTTTAATTTTTTATTGTGTTAATCACCATACATTACATCATTAGTTTTTGATGTAGTGTTCCATGATTCATTGTTTGTGCATAACACCCAGTGCTCCACGCAGAACGTGCCCTCTTTAATACCCATCACCAGGCTAACCCATCCCTCCACCCCCCCTCCCCTCTAGAACCCTCAGTTTGTTTTTCAGAGTGAATCATCTCTCATGGTTCGTCTTAACATTTCTTTTTATTCATGAGTTTTTCTTCTCTTGATCCAAATAATTTCTTCAGGGATTTAATGTCTTTTTCTATATTGAAATATTGAAAGCATAATGTATCTTTCATGCTCATGATGTTGATAATAATTTAACTCATTAAAAATCAAGGGAAACAGGTCTGAACAAAGTATCTTCTACTTTCCTGTTTATACCAATGAGTTTTATTCTCATTTATGTCCAACTTCTATGAAAGACAAGAAAATACAAGTTATTCTGTGCAATCCAATTTTTATATTTCTTTTCTTGTCCTAACTGTATATGTGGCAATTAGTCTATATTTGAAGTAACTATCCAATAAGCTTAGCATGACATATTTTTGTTAACAATAAATTAGAAAACTGTTTCTTTCTCCAAATGTCCAATCAGTATTCTTTGTAACCTGACATGCTAAGCTCTCTTGCCTAACCCTTGAATTATAACTATCTTCACTCAAATCAGTGTGATAGCTCACCCTATAGAGTAGCCAAAGAAAAGCAGAGGTAGTTTTATGTTATAGTTTAAATATATACTTCTGTGTCTTTAAGAAAATGCATGTGGGAAGACAGCATTATCTAATACAGCCACACTCATTTCTGATATTTAATTATAGATCTTAGGCAAAATATCATTTTATGTATTCTTTCAAGTAACCTTAGGCTGGGTTTATAGAATGGAATTGGTGCTGGTTTATATCACAGGGAAGATGGCTCAAGAAGTTAGATACCCACTGCATTTTAATCAACTCTCTCTGGAGATCATCAGAATAAGGAGACAGGTTTTTCAAATAATGCAATTCATCTTACATGGTAACTATTTCAAATGAGTCAAAAGAAAATAGAATCTTAATGAAACAAAAAAATTTTTCATACAAATGATCACATCAACATATTCATCTACTCAGTGATCATATGTCTTTGAATGTGCTTTCCATGTGTGTTTCTTGGTAGGTGCACTTTTGTAAAGCACCACACTATTGCAAAATTTTAGCCACTATCTGCTAGATTGAGATGGAGTTGGAAGACAGGTGGAGGACATCCTCACCAAATCATATTCAAATTTCCCTATAGAAAATCGCAATAGACTCAATTCTTACAGTTCAGAGTCTAGTAGGCAAATAAGTTTTTAGCAAACACTAGTAAAATAGCATGATTTTTATTCTTCCTCAAGGATATTTAAGTTCTTAGATCATTGCCTAAATTTGGCAGACCTGAATTGCTTCAGTTAATTTAAAAAACTATAATTAACCTGGGGTTTTTTGTATTTTATTTAAAAGAATATCGAACACATTGCATTTTGGGCAAATGATGTCTCTAATAACATTTGCTAGGGTTTTTTTCTCCCTAGATTCTTAATTTTAGGAATTAATTCCTAAAGTTAATGTGTTTCTTCTGAAGAATTAAGTTGTTCTCTTTGATCATAGCAATGAGAGCTTCGCACTGCATTCCATTCTTTTTTTTTTTTTTCCTATCTTTTCTGGTGGGTATGCTGTTCTAAATATATTCAATTCTCAAATATATTCCATAATCAAAAATTAATAATCCAAGCTTTCTTTCACTCTTCACACTCTTCAGAGTAATCCCCATTTCTGTATTCTGCTTCATAACAGAACTTCACAAGTGTATTTCCACGGCAGCATTCTAAGAACCTTTATCTCTCTGTTCCTGTGTTTTGATCTTTCATCTCGACTACTCTCCTGAGACCCCTCTTACAGAGATCATCAGGACCTCAGTCCTGCCAAATCTAGAGGTCAAATATTTTACTCAGCCTCTCAGCAGCGTTCAGATTCACCAACTTCTCTCTTCATTCCTGAAAGGCTCTCCAAACTTTAACTTCATCCTGCCATGCACACTTGGTTGAACTCCAACCACAGCAGCTGCTCCTTCTAAGTGTCCTTCTCTTTTCTCCTCGGATTTTTCCCTCAAACGTGAGAATGCCTCGCTAGCTATTTGCCCCACGTATGGTTTCTAGTCTCTACCTAAACTCTTGTTAGATGGGTCACTTTGGATACATTCTTTTCTCCAGTCTCATTTATATTTCCAATCTTATTATATTCATATTTTGTGTATATAATATTTCATATATTTCCAATCTTAATATATATAAATGTGTGTGTATATATATATCTTCATAGATTAATCGTCATTAGAAACTTAACAAGACAAAATTAAGTTGATGATTCTTTATACTACCCAGACTTCTTCATTTTTTTCTTCTAGGTCTCAAAGCATGCATGGCACAGATCAGATCATGACCCTCCCTGACCATAATCCTTCAATGTCTGCCCACATTAGGATGGCTAGGGTACCAGACATGCAATTAAATTTGAATTTCAATATTTGTTTGCTACATCTGGCAACCCAAAGCTTAGAAAACACAGATGACACGACCCTGCATGTCACAGCCTTGACTACATCTACGAGCTCATCAGGTAACCCTGTTCCTCTCCATTAAATATATAGATCACAGTGGCTTCTCAGCTCTTCAGATGGGCTTATTTGTTTCCACCTTAAAGGCTCTGCCTTTGAGCTCTTGAAGTAATAATCGAGAATGGCTTATCTTTCTCTCTTGGTTCTCTCAGTGAAGCTGTCTCTGACCACTCAGTCTGAAGTAATCCTTCACCAATAACTCTTTAAGTTTTCCTTAGCTCATCTTGATTTATTATTTACACAGACTCATCACTATAAGAAATTATCTAATTCACTCAATCTTTGTCTGTCTTGAATTTCCTGCCCCGGCTTAATCTAGAATATAAGCTCCATCACAATAGTGTCCTTGTCTGTCCTATCCATTGCTCCATCCCAGTGCTCATAATAGTGCCTGGTATTGGGGCACCTGGGTGGTTCAGTTGGGTAATCATCCAACTCTTGATTTCTGCTCAGGTCATGATCTCAGGGTCCTGGGATCAAGCCCCTCAGGGGGCACCACACTAGGCATGGAGCCTGCTTGAGATTCTCACTCTCCTTCTCCCTCTTCACCTTCCCCCCGCCATGTGTTTTCTCTCTCTCTCTAATAAATAAATAAATCTTCAAATAAAAAAGTAGTGCCTAGTATGTAATTGGTTCTCAAAACAGTTTGGTAAGTGAATTAGTAAATGATCACATCAATAAAATGAAAGATTATTTTTATATTTCCTTTAAATGTCATATTTTGGAATAACTTTAGACCTAGAGAAAGTTCCAAAATAGGACAGAAAATTCTTATATACCCAACACTCAATGTTCCCTAATGTTAATGTCTTTCATAACCATAGTATATTTATCAAGTTTTTTAAAGAAATTAACTTTATATGATACTCTTAACTAAACTATAGCTTTTATTTCATTTTTTTCCATTCGTGTCTTTTTTTGTTCCATAATCCAAATCACATTGCATTTAGTTGTAGGACCTTTTTAGTCTGTTTAATTAGTGACTGTTCCTCTGTCTTTCCATGGCCTTCATGGCCTAGACAATTTGAAAGAGTTGGGTGTTTTGTAGACTATTTCCCAGTTTGGGCTTGTCTGAAGTTTTATCACACCTAGATTGAGGTTGTACATTTTGAGAAAGAATACCAGAAGAGATGTGTCTTTTTCAATGCAACATACCCAGTGGTGCATGACATCAATAAATCATTTGAGAGTTTCTGGAAACCATTAAAACTCAAATTTCTAGTAAAATAAGTCCTTCCTTTTCTATAAATTCAGGGTTAATGGGGTCAAACTTCAAGGTCTCTGCCATGGTTTGGGGTCATGTATAAAATTATAGATACATGTATATGTGAAGTATAAACCAAAGCTAATAACATGGCTCCACAAAAAATGATAAAACACTTAGTCATTCAGTGTTTACAAATGAATCCTGGCACCATGTCTTCTCTCCCACAATCTTTCCATGCTTCTCCTTCCCTTTGAAACTACCCTTTTGTTCCCAAGGCAGCAAATATGCAGGTATAAGAAGGATATTATTAAATACAACTAGG